GTCCCCACCTAAAAGCATTTCTGCAATTTGGCGAATAGGCAGCTAGGAGAAGCAACATAAGTTTTGGGTATCTTGTCACGGAAATTTCTCTATCGTTTAATGTCAGCGGAGAGAAGCGATGGGTATCGCTAAGAGTAGGAAGATATATTCCTCATTCACTTGAGGGCAATTGAGTTTTGTAGTCAGTTAACAAGTGATTTATACGATCGCTTACAATGGGTTAAAGAAACATTTTCTATCCGTTGGAGATTCATCGTAAAAGTTCATCTTATTAGAAGTATGTGTAAAGCTTGTGTTATGTTAAGAATCTCTTGTACAATGCGGAGAATGTACTGGAATTTACAAGAGGCAGAGAGGAACAGAGAGAGAGAGAGGAAGTCTGTCCGCACTGCAATTGCAAAGCGAAACAGAAAGTTGTTCACGGTTCTCGATATCGAGCAAACTCGCTTTGCAGCTGTACTCTGTTACTCGATGGAAATTTTGTGATCGGAAAAATTTTTGATCCGATTGTAAGAAAAATGCATATGCGATCGGCAGCTCGTTAAAGCTATCGCGTTTAGACGATTTTGAGGACTTTACACCCACCGCCAATTTTTTAAAAGGTATATGAATCCTGGTATTGCAAATTTCCAAACTTTACGTCTTTCGATAGTACCTACTTGCTTATGCAACTCTGATTTTATCGATACATTCAGTAACTCGTACAATTATTTTTTGGTTAAGTAATACTAGTTCGACTTAAAGAGAAGACTGGCTTTGCCAATCTATAGTTATTATGTCGGTATATGTAGCAGTATACCCTTTGTGAATTTTGAGGTTATCTTTACTCTTGCGGCCTGCAAATATTGTGATCAAATGTTGTACTTTAAATTGAGAATGTATTGTAGTAGTTTGCAATATTTAGAGCCTTTGCTGTTGTTACACATTTAGCTAACACATGCCGTAACTGGTTGTTTGTTGAAAATTTCGAATGCTTTACACATTATTGACCGCTAAACGTAATGTAATAATAAAATAATTTGCTCATATATCGAACAATTTCATCCACTGCAGAGGAGAGGAAAGGTATACATACGCAACCATAACATTATTAACTATTTGTATAAATAAAACCATATGTGTAAAGGTATAAATGACAACAGCTAGGTAGGAAGCATTATATTAAGACGCGACAGGAGGTTATTAGTGAAACTCGTGGCATCATTGGTTGCTATAGTTTATGCTGGCCGGCCCTGTTGCTTTTTACCGTTACGTCAATGATTTTTTGTTGCTTCTTTGATTTGTATATAAATTTAGTGATTTCTTTCTCTTATATTATATGAAGAAAGTGGTGGTGGGTTATTACTGTTGTTGTTGTTGTTGTTGTTGTTGTTGTTGCTGTTGTTATTATTATTATTATTGTTAATTTTCTAATAAAATCAAGTATCATCAAGTATTGTAGGTAAAGAAGTGAAGCGGCGCAAAAAAATTCAATAACAAATCCCTTATTATTATTATTTAGAAACGGAAAAAATACAAATCGAGTGGCGGTAAAGTTTTCCCGAGTGTGCATTTAACACTCGTATGCATGAATAATAGAAGAGATAATCGAAAACAATGACTACATTGCACTAAAAAGGGGAGGCGATAAGCATAATGAATGACGAAGGGAGAAGAATGAAATCACACACACACACACACACACACACACACACACACAGCATAGAGAGTGTACAAGATTTATGCTATGCATAAACATACAGTGCATTGCATTTCTATGATATCATAGCGTTTTCACTATCTGCTTATGTTAGTTATTGTTATCTGTTTTCAATAAGTATCTTTTATAAAGCGGTGTTTATATCAAAAACTTCATAATTATATACGTTAATGAACGGGCACATGAGTGCCGTATACCGCATTTAATATACATGTAAACAGAACAGAAAAAAAAAAAGGTAACAACATCAACCCTCCTCTACTTTTAACAAATTAAATCGACACATGTAAATATATGCATACATATATATACATATATATATATATAATTTATATATAACATATCACGAGACTAGTCATTAAAAATTTTATAAATGTATCGATGTCATTGGGTAACCTGCATTTGTATACATATGTATGCATGTGTGTGTGTGTGCGTGTGTGTGCGTGTGTGTATGTATGCTGAGAACACAATGAGATTTGATTTCATTTCATCTGCGAACACGTGCCCACGTGAAGTGAATCACCAGACATTGATGATGACGATGATGAGTCTACGCTCTGGCGGACAGGTATACTCATTGTCTGAGGCACACCCTCGCTAAATCCTTTGGTTATAAACAATTTCATTACTCTATACGGGTATCTTGCCATCAACTGACAACTAAGTACGCTTAATTGTTGTGCTGTATTGGTGCTGTGTTGTGCTGTGCTGTGTTGTGTTGTGTGGCCTTTGTTGTATTCTCGATAATAATGCCGTATAATCTCACAATACTTTTACCTGAATGTTTTTGTTAAAGTAAGCTTATGCTGGTTTTTAACGACGATGCCGGACATGAATAAAAACTAGGAATTTATTGAGATCATCATGTAGCAGGCAGGATGTTTAAATTAAACACTAACCGATTATATAATCTAATCAATTGTTTTTGAGAAATATTATGCAGATGTCTGCCGGAAAGGCTTATCAAGGTAAGAAGGATTGCAACCCGATTAATTGTTATCAAACAAAGAAACAATTTTTTGCAGTAAATTTTTTTGCCACAAAGTCGACGTACACGCTTACGCTCGCCCTCAATTATTTAAATTTAATAATAAAAACGGCCCAATTATTTTAGTATTCATTACGAAATATGAAAGCGGTAACAAGAACTCCTTCTTGCGGTCTCAAATGAGTGGGCAAGAAAAGCGCGTTCTCCTTGTGGCAAATATTGTTCATTCATGTCCATAACCTCAATTGAACGCACAAAATTATATATTATTTTGCTAATTGAAAATTTGTTTCCCGGAGGTTCAGAAATATATATGTGCGCTGAATTTATACATAGCTTCGATGCGGGGCAGAGAGAAAGAGACCAAGCGACCCATATTCCTACATTGATTATAAATATACTTCGCCCTAGTCTTTTATATCATATATCATATATGGAGTAAAATATCTTGTACATGTCTTAACTTTTCGCAATACTTTCGTCTCTGTTAGGCTTTCTTTTTCTTATATTCTTTTTTGGGCTAAACCGTAACCCTTTGATTATTATTTCCTAAATCGTCGGTTACTAATCAGCGCACGATAGAGATGCTATTGACGCGTTTTCGTATTACGATGGATTACTTCGGGATCGCGTCGCAATCAAAGGGTTAATTATTGACAATTATTTTTCAACTTCTATTCACAAATTTTTCCATTGCAATTAAAAGCTTAGTTTGGTCAATTTGAGATTTAGATAGGCACTCATCATAGCCCCGTAGAGATCATATTAGTCAAAGGACTGCCCCGACTATCAACTTAGGCAGGGTCTACAATTTTTAAAACTTATCAAAAGGACAGTTCAATAACAACGCCTTCGACCTAAGGTCGAAGAGTAAAAAAAAAAAACATATATCCCGCAAAAATAAGGATCAAAAAAGAAACGAAAAATCTCAAGTCGCGTTAAGTCTCTATCTGTTACGACAGAAATTGAATTGAAACTGAATACTTATCCTATACTTTGAACTTAAATCGTCTAAAATCTTGACCATTAATTATATGTTTGGCGAACATTTCTCTGGCAAAGCTTCGTACTTTTCTAATCTTGCCGTTGATCTGCATCACATGGCCTAAGACTTAATCGTGATTATAGTGGATTTTATCGAACTACTAACGATACTAGTAAGTAAGGCTTGGCCAGGAAGTCAGTAGATCAAAGATAAAAGAGCTCTATTTTTAATGTTATTTACAGAAATAAAGCTATTTGGAAAGACTATAACGATTTGTTGTCAATAAAGCTAACTATTCATCTATTTCATCCTATATATATATATACATATATTATGTAAAGCTCACTATTACCACCTATCGCATATCGAAGAATACAAAATTTAAAATACATAATATAAGAAATGCTCTTAAATAAAAAGAAAACTATATTCGGTTGTGACCGATTTTTTTACACCCATCACCGTTATTTTAAAAAGCCAAAAAAAAAGTAAAAGAAGTACATTTTCAAACTCTATAATACGAAGTGGGAGAGGCTGATTTTTTCTATTTTTAAAATAAAAATTTTTTTTCTTATAGACGCGTGAGCGTTATAGGCGTGTCCTTTGAAAACTTTAGATTTCCAATTCTTTTGCAATTTAGTGGGCGAACTTTTGGCGTATGGAAGAATGTTTTTCACGGATACTATTTCTACTTGGGTAGAGGACATATGAATGGACGGACTTGCTTATGGGGTTGTTGAAGCTGGTTTCTGAACATTGTAAAGCTATTGAGAGAAAAAATTAAATTATGACACACTATAAAAGTAAGTAGGCGTGCCATTTTTGTAGAGGTATTAACAGCATCGCCTAAGGAATATGCGGTCAAATTTTTCTCCGTCAAGGTTTAGGTGTAATGAGTAAAAAACAAATTTTTTATATCTTTTAGAAAATAGAGGTGTTCTCAGCTTACGTGGTACTGTGGGCGTGTTCCTCGACCCATTTACTTCCTTGCAGGATCAACTTGCTTGCAAGAACTTTCAATGTTTTTGGCAAATTTGCAGGCGTTAGCTTCACTTTTGCGTCCAGGAGAGCAGACGGACAGACGGACATGCTTAAATCGTTTCAGCATTTAATGCTAATCAAGAGTATGTACACTTTGTGAGGTCTCTGAAGCTGCCGTTTGGGCGCTTCAACAAAACAATTTTGCCTTTCATTCCTCGACAATGGATATAAATGGATATAAGCCCGAGATCAAGGTAAGTTTCTTTTGCGTAGAAACTCTGTTATTTGCTGATCGATTTGTCATCAAACAAATTAAATACAAGTACATGCGATATTCTGCTTACCTGTTACGGTGATAAATTGCGGCGTTACATCTTCATCATCTACGGATGGTGCTTGTAATACCGTCACTTGCCCATTCGCTACCTGCTGTACCAGATCGGAATCGTCTTTAATCGCCGTCAGTGTGGCAATGTTACAAGCGTTTGTATCATTGCTCGAGGCATCAGCAGCATCCATGGGTACGACCACACTAATGACCGCCACCTCTTCCTGTTGATGACTAGTTGTTAACTTTTTCTATAATGCATAATACAACCGCATGCAACTATGTAGGAGACTAGTGGCGGCAATTTTTTCGACTTACCTGTGTCATAACATCTTCAAAATTATCGGTTGTTATGAATTCAAATTCATCTTCGGCGCCATTGGACTCTGTCGTTACTGTCAGGGCATTTGATTCGGCATCGCCTAATGTCCCAACCGTGGTTCCTCCATTGAGATCATGATTTTCATTTGTGCTTTGTGTCGTTAAAATTATCTCCGATTGTATTGGATCGGTGGTGGCCGTAATAGCAGTTACATTTTGTGCATCGCCATCGTTTGTAATCGCTCCTGTTGCGGTTGTGGTAATAAAATTTCTCGGTGCCGCTAACTGTGTAGTCATAATATATTTTCGATTTGTGCGTACGCAATACCAGTTAGTTAAATTATTTTATTTTTAAAAATTTGATTTGTCTTCGATTTAATAAATATTAAGGCAACTTGTGGTTTATTTGTTCATTTTATTGATTAATAAAAAAAGTATCACATCTGCAATGAGAAAAAAAATTGAGAAAATATATTAGAAAAAAAAAAAAAAAAAAAACAAAATTTTATGCGATTATAATGAAAGAATTTTTTCTATAGATAATCATCAGTCTTGCTCGCTTGCTCGCTCGCCCTCTCTCTCTCTGTCTCGCGCTGTTGAAGTCAAGAGAAAACCTTTTCGTGAAATTGCTTTCTTGCCAAACTCTTATTTTAATATTTCAATTAATTTCTTATGCTGCTTATGCTGGAATACATTCATCAAGTATCCTGCATTGCATACCTAAGGAACATTAAAGGGCGTTGCTATGCTATCTCAGGCTTATGCTGTTTGGTATTCTTTAATTTATTATAGTTTAACCTGATTCTTCCAATTGCACGACTTTTACAGGTACATCCCCCCCCCCCTCCCCCCCCCCCTTTCAATGCTAGCTACCTTTGAAAACGCGTAACTAAGGACGCTTAATATGTATATCTATATGTGTGTAAGGATATGGTTATATACAAAAGGCGAACATATTCATTGTATTTGTCATATATATATATATTTATCTTTACAGACCGTTGTTAAGCAACCGCAAAGTTCGTCAAATAATTCCTAAGTTTTAGTAAATTGCAGGTCGAAAGTCATCTTATCTTTCATCCATTTCAAAGCACATATATATAATAGATATGTAATACGCATAGCGAAACATTGATTGATTATATTGCCAAAATTTTTGAAAATCTAAAGATTGACTTTAATTTACATTTTTAGGTATATTGCGACAATAAATTGAAAAAAGTTTTAAAACTGATGATAAAAATATGTTTATCCTTCTACTGCGATACTTTATGTAATGCAAGCGAACTTTTTTTTTGATTTACTTTTCAATTGAAGACTTTAAAAAGAGAGAGAGAGCGAGAGAGAGAGAGAGAGATAGAGAGAGAGAAAGAGAGAGAGAGAGAGAGAGAGAGAGAGAGAAAGAGAGAGAGAGAGAGAGAGAGAGAGAGAGACAGATAGACAGAGAAAGGGAGAAAAATGGAGATAGATAGATAGATAGACAGAGATAGAGAGAGGGAGACAGACAGACAGAGAAAGTGAAAGAAATAGAGAGTGAGAGAGAAATAGAGATAGAGAGTGAGAGAAAAATGGAGAGAGAGAGAGAGAGAGATAATTACTCGAGGCAACATTCGTCTCAAGGGCCGAGTGGTCGTGGATTCACATCTCACGTGCGGTAGAGTTGGCTTTCAATAAAGTCAAATAGGTAGCGTCTTAAACGATGCTAGTGCTTTTTTAAGACTTCAATCTTAGAATTTACTCTTTGGCTAAATTAATAATAACAATAATAATATTGGAGGCAAACGTGAAAGGCGAAAAATATGGGGCACAAATTTATTAATTTCCTTTTCTATATGAAGTATTGGATTAAGATCTGATATCAATACCTCCTAGTGTGACCTGAAAGTAAAACAAAAATTCCAACTAATTCCCACGCAATTATCAAAATACTTTACAATATTTATTAAGTTTATTAAGTTGGTTTGCTCGTAAATATGAATGATGGGAATTAAGAATGGGGTGTGCATACCGATCTCAATGCATTTTTTTTTCTTGGTCAATTTGGTCCGAAATACTGCTACTAAAACAACATAAGACAAAGGAAAGGTGATCAAGAGATTCCCCACGATTCACGTGTTCGTGACGTAAGCTAAACTCGAATCGTTTTATTTGAAAAATTTGGAAATGTTCGGAGCCTTTAAACAGATTACAAATGTCTTTAGGCTGGAAGCAAGATGGTAAGCAAGTGTAAATTAGTCTTCCAGTCTGTTATCACAAAATTGAACCGTGTCGAGGATGAAATCTGTTGTCAATTCTGAACAAATTTGTTGTACACATGTTTTCTAGCATTAAATACATATGTCGATCTATATATATATATATATATATATATAGTAATTCAAACGTTTTGTACGATTTCTTGAGAAGTCTTCTATTTTCTCTTAACTATGATTTCTGCTATATTTGTATATTTATTGAGGTATCCGGTATATTCATTTTGTCGATACGTTTGCAAGGCTTAGAAAGAAGCTTCAGAGACTCTACAAAGTCCGTCTGTGGGGAAGAAGAAACATTAGAATTTCTTGGCATTGAAAATCGGTTGAAAGGCACGACCGTCTACAGTACTGCAAAAAGTGAGTACACTTCTATTTTGCACAAACAAGTAAAAATTGGTTTTATGCTCATCACTGCTCATAAACTGCAATAGATACAGAATGACCACGCCTACTCGTTCATTGTTTCATTTTCTTTTTTTTTTTGCAAAACTCTTATAACGCACAGAAGCAAGCCTCAAAAACTCTATAAAGTGAATTTAAAATTCTTGGTTTGTTTTAAATTCGCAATGCACTTAAGCATGTCCATCTGTCCATCTGGACTAGTATGTAGTGTCTGTGGTAAACATTCTTCCGTTCGCCAAAATGAAGATATCGCCTAAAAATGAGTTAAATTTTTCAAAGGACACGTCTGCAACGCCCACAAGTCTACGCGTCATAAAGTGTGAAAGCCTTTGCTTTCTGTGTTTTTTGCTTTTTTACTCAGAAAGTGCAACACGTCATACACTATATAAATTTGCCCCCTGTGTTCTGAGGATAGAAACAATCAGCCGCATCCATTCAATATTAGGGAGAGTATGAGAATTTAGTTCTTTTCCTTTTTTTTTTTTAGAATCACAGCGATGGGCATAGAAGATTTGGTCGTGACCGGTTTAAGCTTCACTCAAAGGGCAATGCACTGCCTGCCGAGAAGTGCAGTTAAACTTCTTTAGCTATTTTTGTTATATAGTGATATGATAGTTTAAGTCTAAAATTCCGGAAAATATTGTAAACTTTGTGTTCAGCAAAAATTAATAAGTCATTAATTAATCTCTTCCGGTCTTCACTACATCTATAAATGCATATTAGCTTACTTTTGATTTAGTGTTAAAAAAAGAAAAAAAGGGAAAAGAAAAAGTGCTATTAGGAACACGCACATTTGTAAACAATCCTTAGTAGCTTTGGGCAGTTTTTGATAGTAAATAAGAGAAATCATCACTCAGCGCTTCATTTAATACGTAAGGGAAAGGTGGGTGAAATGTTAAATAAAGCTTAAGACTATCATGATTGACTACAAACTGAAAATGTATATATATGTAAATATGTGTATCTGTGTATGCGTATGTGTATGCGTGTATATATATCAGAGATTATATGCCACTATCGCATACTGTGTATGAATACAAGCTAATTGATTTGCATATCCCTTTTTCTTCCCAACTAATATTTAATCAAGGACTTGTCTCTCACCGTAAAGGAATATTTAGCAGCGATACCGGCAAGAGGGCAGAGGGCAGAGGGGAGCAAAAGTATTTTTAGCGTTCAAAGGAACCGTACACTTGGCTGTAATTGTCTTCTTCTTACCGCCAAAAAAAAAATTATTAAATGCTTTTCATTGGAAACACCACTTAATCACTTGCATCGCGTCTTTTTTATTTATTTTTTTTTTTTTTGGGAGGGGGGGGGCTTTTTAGTTTCAAAAAAATCGCACACATTCAACCAAGCGAACTCATTATTTATTTATAAATAAATTAAAAATTATTTTAACACTTAAAACGGTTATAATTATTACAGTATTGCACACGCACAACTAACCTATCAATAATTAGTTGTTGTTAGAGCTTAAGCTAAGCTAAGTGAAATGTGAAACATTTGCTTTCAAATATCTTAGCAAGTTAATGCAAGAGATTTGGCTGCCATAGTAAAATATCCTGAATTATTTATTGATCAAATAAATCAAAATTGTTTTCCTTTTCCTCTCTTTCTTTTCTCCCATTTCATCAAGCATTTTTGCTTGAAAGCAACTGCTTGACACTGTACATAATGCGTAGGCTGGTCGAAGCTGGTTGTGTTTGCTTTCATTTTCGCAAACATTTTGCATAGATCGCATTGTCATAAATGTATAGGCAAATAAAGGATTGTAGAGAGGATTGTTGAGTTATGCTTATGTGCAGCAAGGAGAAGAAATTATTTATGCGACTGTTACTAAACAATAATTGTCAGCGAATGCTTGTTGCAAGTTAACTGTTTATTACATTTACAGAAAACATTTAAAAGTCAATCACTTGCATATATATATATGTATATATATGCCAATAAGTGGGCGGCTTTATATTCAACATTGTTACATTGTTCATTATACACATATATTACACTTACGTATGTAGTGGAAAATGTACGATGCAGACATTTTTAAAATGTTTTCGAGACGATAGTAAACGTGCTAAAGTGAAAGGACTTGCGCTATACATTAGTTACTAAATCGCAAGTAAAATCTCCTTCTTTTTATTATTTATATCAATGACTGCGTAATAGAAAAGCGACAAGCTATAGATCATAGGGGGAGTGATGAGGAGTGAAAGTGTGGTCGATCTTGTTTCATTGTCTTTCAAGAAATGCAAATTTTTGATAAGAATAAAATCCTGAGTATTTTCCGCCATATCCGTCCATCTGTCATCTGTTGTTTAAACTTTACCTCCTATCGTTAAGATTGAATATAGAAATTTGAATGTCTACGCATTATTATTAGTATTAAAATGGTTGAGGACCACCTGAAAAAAGTTACAGCTGACAATCTACGTCACAGATAGCTATTCGAAAATCAGTACAAACATAGTTCGGTAGAGTCACTGCTAAAAGTTCGACAGAAAGACGCCTGTATAAGCAGTCTATGCATGCAATAGCGAAAAACTGCTACAAATAAATTCGCGGAAATATTACTCAGATCCATTTAAGAGACGGCATTCATTTAAGTGATGCGGTCATAATTTATTTTAATTTATTTTACAAACTTTAATTATTAATTTAAAGTGTTTGAGATGAACATGTTTTTCTACGTCAGACTTCTTTCTCTCTCTTTCTCTTTCTTTCTTTTTATAGAAGTTTCTTTGAGCA